TTTGAAGTTATTCATTAGGTCAACAATCTATCTAATTTAAATTTAAATAAAATATTATTCCATGAAATTAAACGTTTTATGTCCATACTTAAATATTAAAATAAGTTCGATGTAGATCTATCCCGGAATATAAATAAGTTACGCCCTTAACTTTGTTATATAAGATAAAGTGTCTGTGTGACGCTTTGTATCTAGACACCACAAAATACACTTAGGTTAAGTTGTACATTTTAAAAACCCCTCTCATAATCAATTAATCTTTATACTTAAGCTCAGACCAATTTACTATTTGTAAAACAAATAAAATAATAAAGTAGTAATTTCGTTCATCGATCCCGGCATCACAATATAGATTAATAATAACCATTTAAAGAACAGAAGGAAAAATATAAACATTATTTTTATCAATAATTGTATATATGTTTATGTTAAAAAAAAAACCTCAGAAATAGTCGGACAAAACGGGAACTACCCAATATATACTTAGTATTATATTTGTACAGTAATATTTATTTTATGGTTATTTATATAAAATCTCAAAAAAAAAAAAAATAAATAAATAAATAAACGTACTACTATACAGTTAACTATTCAATTGTGTACAGTCACTAAGATTTTTCTTAAATTATATTTGTCACTAATAGATTAACTCGAAAATAAGTTAAACAAAGAAGTTTTTCCAATGTACCGTGAGCAGTTTGCGTTTTTAACGATTTAGATTTTTACACGTGACATATTATGCTTAGTGATAACACTCACATATACTTATATATCATTAATTATACGTATACAATACACAAGTACACGTCTTATAATTATAGAAGAATAAAATAATATAAACTGAATAAGCTGTGCTACTATGAAATGTCCGGTGTTTTATCTAACTCGAAATAACCAAAAAAAAAACTATTAAAAAAAAAAAAAATCAATTAATTTACCATTGCAAATATAAAAAATAACTACACATTGTATTACATCTCAGCTGAAACCCCCATATTTTATCTAAATCAACTATCCAACTTACCGCATATACTTTGTCCTAATTTAATACCCGTGGATGAAAACCAATAAACTACATAATATATTTTCTATGTTAAATTTTAATCCTCAATACCTTTAAGTATATATTGTGTATGTTCGACAATATTTTCTTTTATTTTTTACGCATAAATTATCATTAATTATATAGATAAATATAGACGTGTAATTATTTAATTTTTAAATATAATATGATTTATTAAAAACAATTTTACACGATTAAACATTAATTTGTAATAAATAGCCAATATCATTAACTACACAAATTCATAATGATGTATTGTATAGTTTATATGCACAAAAACTAGACATAAACAATGTAATATGAGACTCGTTTGCAAAATTATTTCTAATTTATGAAGTTTCTTAATTTAAAACACCTACCGGTTGTTTATTTATCGTTAACATAATGTACTTTAATTGTTTTTATGTTTTAACACTGTATCTCGGAAATCATATTAACATAACACACAAAATATATACTATAGTAAAATTAGAAATATACGTAGTTTACATGAATGAACTACAAGTTTGTGATATAAATATAATATTTAGTAATAATAATCAAACTGTTACCATGATTCTGAAGTAATATTAAAAATACAAGTAAAAATAATCTTGAATTGTTATGAAAAATAATAAATTAGTTTCAAAATTTAATATCGTCTGCCCCACATGGTGCCGGTCTCTAATCGATTAGTTTTTGTCGTGTAGATTGGACTAAAAGACATACATAATAATACAGCCATATAATAATATACAGTTATTTAACACAGGATAAAATTATTTGGCATGATTCCATACACGAGGTTTTCTAACGAAATCAGTAAAAGGATAACTTTTTTATCACGATTTTCCTACCCACTTAACTGAAAAATTAAAAAAAAATTCACAGAAAACTATCGATATTCGACTTCGGGATACAAACCATCCCGATAGTGTTCCGAAAAACATAATGCTGCAATCACAAAATAATGGATGCAAAACATATTTCTAACGATTGTATACAATATTATTTGAATTCAATAATTGGCGTGTGAACAATATTCTATTCATAAGTACTCCATTGTGATGGCATGTTGATATAATTTTGTTGGCGACATTTGTTGCAATAATAAGAGATAGCTTATTTAAATACACGCCATTATACATGTCATTTCTTATTTAAAGTTTAATAACAATATAATAAATGTTATTAATGTACAGTGGAGATCGGATACTAACTATATTTAGTCATAAAACGTAGTATGTTAAGAACAAAAACTATTTAACGTAGGTATTTTGACAAAGGTCAAAAACGCAAACGAAAACGATTGTTATTCATAATTTTTTTTAAATAATTATAATATTATTTTTACATATTAAATTGCTTTATTTCAATATTTTTAGCCCACGTATACAACTCTGTCATTCTGTTAGGTGAGGCGTTAAGAATTTTAATATTATGTACTAAACTAAAAATGTCAATAAATGTTTAGTTTATACAAAAAACGGATTGACTTAATTGGCAAAAATTAAAAAAATCTGAGTACAAACTGTTTCATAAAAGTGCCATGTATGCCAAACCAATTAATATTTTATTTTGTTTAAATAAATTATAATAGTCATATGATACAGCGGACAATTCACAGAAATTGAAAAACATAATTAAAAAAAGTATTAATCACAATAATCCATGGATATTGTGCAATTATGGGTTTCATAGAGATTACTTTAATTTCAGAAATAATTATTAATTACAAGTACTTTACTACTTATTCACCCAATATCCTTATGTAATGAACAATATTTAGATTAAATTTATAAATTATAAGAGTACATAATGTATAAATTATCAAGTTTGAATATAATTATACTGTATTATACTGTAACTGTATTTTAAATGAGAATCAATCGAATTATATGTAAATAACACACTTTTTTTTTTATTTATTTTTTGTAAACGTTCAAGAAATATAAATTTCCTCCTTTCATTAATTCTAATAATATTAGTATCGATTTTGAAACAAGGGACCTCTGTACAGTATAATTTTAAGTTTACATGGTACTTTTTTTTGAAATTGTATTATTTATAAATTATTTTTTTAAATAAACAAAATAATATGATGTTTTAACTTAAGAAAGTAACAATCGCATTTAAAAAACATAATTTAAATACATCTTTTACATTTGTATTCTTTTAAAGATTGATTAATTAAGCTTTACTTTATTTTACTCCAACAGTGCCATAATTATTCAAAATAAAACTCTAAAAATTTTTAATATAATTAAAAAAATCGAATGCTTGATGTTTTTATACTACTTAAGATATTTCTTGTGAAATTATAAATTTTTATTTTTTCAGAAAAAAATTATTGTTTACTATTAAAAATGATTTAACAGATATATTTTCTGAAACTTATGAAAATCATAATTTAAACGATTCGTTTTCAAGTTGTTTAAGTTTGTGTTATAGAAATATGCAAAAATTATGAACATTGTTTAAAGATTTATTTTATAATAACTAATAATCTTTTTAAGTTTATAAGCTTATAGTTTATTAAGTATTTTAAGTTCACTTTTTCTAATACATTATCAAATTTAACCAAGTCACTTGCAAAATATTAATTTGGTTGATATTAAAAAAAATTCAGGTCATGTGATATCCATATTATTGAAAGATAATATTTGTGCATGTAATGATCCATTGCTTTATAATTTTGAAATTTGCTACACGTGTAATCTTAAACTCAAGAATAGGCACCTCGAAATCAATTTTTTAAATTTTGAATTTTAATAATGAGCTTAAACTGGAATTTATTAATTTTACGAAAAACTTAAATTATTTTATTTATATTGCACTGTCATTGATAAAATAAAATAAAATAATTTTTATAATTAAATTTAATTGTGAATCTGTATTTTATACTTGGTGTTCACACACACACACATACACACACTTATGATTATTTTGAGAATACAAATAGTCTCCATTGAACGTTATGGTAAATACTTAAGTATTATTTTATTTATCACATTAACGACGTGCAGGATCAGCCAATAAAAATCTATAATAAAAACATTTATTCTTAAGCTTCAAGACTTATTTGAATTTAGCAATAATATAATTTTAGATTATCTTTTAGATTGGTTATCAACTTATATTTAGTTATTATATATATAAAAAAAAAAAAAATAATATAAATTATTTTTATGTTTTTTTTTTTTGTTAATTAATTAATTTTTATAAAAAAAAACTGTGAGTTATTAAATTTCTGATTAGAAGTCAAAATAAAAAGCTTTAACTTAAAAGTTAAATATTTAAATGATCTTTGATGAGATAAAGCTATACTAATTTTAATATACATAAATCACCAACTACTAGTTCGTTTACAAGAGTTAAATTGTGAAACAAATGCTACTTACTGCTATGGTTTGAATATAAATAATAAGAATAATTTTAGATTGTTATTTTGATTGCAATACTTTATGGGGTAATTTTAAAAGCTTAATATGTTTAAAAAAATTAATTTCTTCATAACAATCTTAATAGATAAGTAGTAAGTAATGGAAAATATAAAAACATCAAAATAAGTGGTTATAAAATATGTATTGTCTATTATTATTGAAAATTAGATTAAAATTTGATATAATTATGTAACAAAAATACTATTGTTAATAGAAAGTATTGAAATGCTTTTTATATTTTTTTTTTTATGTTTTTAATTATTTTAGACTTATTTTATTTTCAAAAATGTTTTATTTTCTAGTATGTATTTTCATAATCACGTTTGAGATTTGGCTATTGATTATTATGTGTAATAAAGTTATTTATGGCAATTTTAAAAAAGTTGGAGAAATCCATTTGGAAGTTGAATTAATTTCTATTAGAATAATTATAATGCTAACCATTGTAAAACTCTCCTCGGTATACCTTGCATATTTATAAGAGAACAATTAATTAAATATATTTAAATACTTACATTAATATGATTATGTACACAATTATTATTCATTTCAAAAGAACTTGACAATTCTCTGAAATACAACTATCATCGGGAATCCAATATGTATTATACAAGTACAAGATGCACTCGATGAAGTTCCATGTCTTTGAATTGCAGCGATATTGTCACCTTCTAAAACATCAAAATAAAAAATAAAAACATTATTATACTGTCTAAATTAAATTAAAATTATTATTTATACCTAGTATACAAAAAATATTCATAAAATGTTTAATATATCAATATAAAAAAAGATTTCGTAATATGTTTTTAAGAATATATGCCATTTCGATGTGGTAATTTCGGAGCGTTCATTTGGACAACGACAATTGGGCATATTATACAACATTTCTACTGATAAATTATTAACGCACCACATAAATGTGTGAGTTGATTTTGACGCAAAAAAAAAGTATAATATATACGGTATATCGTGGAGATATGATATTTTTTTAATTAAAATTACACTTGAAGATATCTGATAATTGTGATACACTTTGTATAAAAAGACAATAATATATTCAGTCATATCAGTCATCACTTTCGATGAAAAAAAATACGGTATCTGGGTATCTATATATTATAGTTCTAAATAACTTCACAACTAATAAAGTACTTCAAGGCATAATTTTAAGTTTTTTAAGTAATAAAATAAACTTATATGTAAATATGATAAATTATATTTAATATTATACATTCTGCACTTTGTACATATTTTTATTTTTCATTAATTTATCAATAAACTATACAGTTTACATCCATAATAATGTTAATAGTTTTTTTTTTACAAATATATATATATATATATATATATATTTACTTATCTTAGTATAAAATAGAAACTTTTAAAAAAACTAAATCAGTAATATTAATTTGGTTAAGTTATCGTAAAAAAAAAAAATCAAAATAATTTGTCGAGTTAACCGAAATTAACATTCTATTGATTAACGTGAATATACAGCTATAATAACAGTAAGTTTGTGTATACAAGTTTATGACTTATGAGTGTTAGTTTAAGGGACATTTAATGGTATAAGGCTAAGTAATTCAGGACATAAAATTAAAGATTATATTTTGTTTTACGTTGATATTAATTCGAGCTTAAATTGCACCGAGTCAAAATGTCACATGCGTCCAATTTTCGATTGTTCAAATGACTGCGTCCATTTGATGCACGTCGAAATTGCCCTTGTCGAAATAATAAAACGCTCTTTATTACTCATATTCATTAATTTTATTAACTTGTCAAAAATCTTGAAAGGTAACAAAATTATAGTTTTAAAATTACTTCTGTATTTTCAAAATAATATATTTCGAATTTTAGGTTTTCTGTTTTCTATAAAAAGTTGTGATCTGAAGAAATTCGTACAGATCGCTTGTTTTGAGGTGTTGGAATAAACGAAAAAACATAATACACGTCTAGCATTTTATGGATACAATCAAACTATCCTCTGAACCGTATAAGGCGGATTTACTTTTGCAGTAAATTTTCTGAAAATCCATAGCTTAACACTCATGTCTGCTAGCGATGTGGAATATTTATATTAGATTCAGAGATATTGCGGTCCAGAAAAGGATTTCAAAGGAAATATGTTTGCACATCATGATTTCATTAAAAGTCATAAACATGGCTTACAATTTTCTAATAGATTTGATTTTGAACTATAACTGAGTTTCAAAATATATCAATATTCACATTATTTATATAATATTTGTTTTTAATTTAGTATTAAATATTTTAAATACAGATTAAATTCGTTTCAATAATAAATTGTAATTATTGATATTTAATAATTTATCATGAAAACATGAATATTTATGATAATCATTTATTAATGTTATATTGAATAAAACAAAAATGCATATTTGTGTAAAGAAAATTATACGGTTGTGTATTATTTTTATAAATTGGAATGTTGCCAGTTAAAAATAGAAAAAAAAAAGTAAGATAAAATGACATTAATAATGAAAGTAAACTGATCTAGCTACTTCTCGATTCATTCTCTTTGTGGTTTATACAGAGAGTTTCATTTTTAACCTATGAAAAGATTCATTCAAATTGTTCTGAAATTCTTCAGGAAATAAGTGTCTATAGAAAAATAGTTGAAATTTAAGTATATACAATGTTGTAAGATAAGGTATCAATGATGTTTATTTCTCAGTCGTATAAAAAAAATGCAACCAATACAACTATAAAAATATTGAAAAACCGTGCATAAAAAATAAATAAATAAATAGAAATTACTAACAGTTTTTGCAAAAATCAATTTATAATTTCAACTTGAATTAATATTAATAATTAACAAAAAGGTTATTAATAATTTAATTTATTTTGACTTGGTGTAAATATTAATAAACTAAGGAATCCATTTTAAATGAAATTTCTAAAGATAAATTTTAAATCAGAAATAATTTATTTTTATGTTTGAAATGTATTTATTGTATATTGGAAATAATATATATATAATTTTATATATTTTTGACTAATATTTTTTATATTGTTTTTGTTTACTAAAAATATAATGATTATAATAATAAATATAGAATAATTATTACAAGAATAGATTATTTATGAATTAATATTTTGTAATTCGTATATTACTTATTTTTTAAATTAGAAAAGTATAATAACATTTTAGCAATGTTTTAGCACTTTGGTAGGCATAATGTCTTAGTTGTATTACAGCAAATAAAGCCAAAATAAATCAAAAAAAAAAAATATTCAAATAATTTTTTTTTTTAACAATGAATTTAATTATATTAAAATCACTGATATTTTACCTTATTTTTGTACTAATCTGTAAATAAGTTAAACAAAAAAAAATGTAAAAAAAGCAATTTTATACTTATTAACAGTTATACAGATAGATAAGTTTAATTAGTGTGTAATTAAAATATATTTTTCACAGTATAATATTTTAAATCTAATAACTTAAAATATTATATTTAAATATGTTTAAAATAAGTTAAATTATAATTTTGTTATTATTTAATATATATTTTGATATTGTGATTAATAGGAATTCTTAAAAAAATATATTTTTTGAACTCGTATTAAAGATAATGTAAAATGGTATAAATAATGGATAGTTTTATCTTCTTTGACATAAAAATAAAAAATAAAGAAAATATTGAAAAAAAAAAAATTATATACTCTAGATATATTATATAAACTTAGCAACTTATGTTATAGAAAAATGAAAATTAAATAAGTCATTAATGAAATAATTGTTATGATGTAATATATTGCATATTATAATAGATTATTGAATTAATCAATTATAACTTTTTTTTTTTTTTACTAAGATTTTATGGATATCAAAAATTTAGGATATTTAATATGCAATTTTATTAATAGATTTTTGTTTAATAGACCACCGCTGAGTTGTATAAAAAAGTGTATTTGTTTAATGTTTCACTAAAATTCTATTGACCAATATTGAGTCTCTAAATCATGTTTAGGAACCATTATTTTAGTATTGATTCATTAAATGTTTAGTGATTGTTTATGAAACCATGCAATAAGAATATATATAAAAAAATACATAATTATTTGATATGTAAAAAATATTATGAAGGAATTATGTATATTTAATATTAAAATATTATAAATGTATAGCACAGATTAATTAGCTTTCATTCCATCAAACCAATCCATTCTAATGATACAACATTTAGGATTAAAGGTCATTATATCAACAAAAAAAAAAAAAAGCGAAAAGATAAATAATGATCACAAAATAGCGAAATAAATAAAAATGAAGTTTAGGTTATTACGAAATCCAAAATAGCTAAAAAATATTATTATTATAAGTATAATGTAAATATATTCACAAAATTATAGTATTCAATTTATAGGGTTAGTTATAACTTATAAGCAATAGCTTTTAAATAATTAATATTGTCGTTAGTATTATAAAATGTGTGTAGGTTACATATTCTTTCTAAACAATTTTTATTTTTATTTTTTTTAAATTTATTTTGCTCCATCAATGAATTGTTCCTGTTTAATGTCCTCTAAATATTGCTCATATTTCAACACAACGATAAATACCCATAATATTGGGTGATTAAATAAATTCCATAAATCTAAAATCAAATTTAAAAAAATATAGGTGATTCAAATAGAATAATGAGCACAGCACTTGATTGTCATGTCGTCGAACATTGTACAAAACTATGTTGATTAAATATAGTATACATCGTGTATACTATATTAACGATAAAAGCGAAAACGGAGATTACCTTGAGTCACAAAAATCATGACAAACTAATAAAGATAATATTATTATTTAAAGTTTTTCTCTATTCTCATTACACTATTTAGTATTTACTGTAAAAATAAGAGTTTCCTCTAAAAATGTGATGTATTATTTTTCACTATAATTTAGTTTCTTTATTTTTATCTTAGATATTATTATTAATTCACTATTTTTTAAATTCGCAATTTTTTTTTTCACTTTTCTGGTCGGTTATTACAGTTTTGATAGTTAAAAAGAATTTTAATACATTAATATTATTTTATTTTACTTATTTACTTATTGGATACATTAAAAAAAAAATGTATGCACTACGTATTACATACATTTTAAAAAGCGTTATTTATTGTTGATTAATTTCTACACTTTTACATATTGAAGTAATATTTTAATAAGCTTAAGTTAAATTTTTTTTAAAACTATTTATATGATCTAAAAAATATTACAAAGAAAACTTTTAATACGTAATTATATTGATTAGTTAATTAATATCAGATTACTTATTAGGTCTTTTAAACAAGAAAAAATATTTATTTTAAATGTTTGTAAGTCATATATGGTAGATAATGTATAATGCAGTATAAAAATGAAAAATACATAAAAAATTAAGATAACATTAGAAATTGATTTCCCAAAATTAGGCTGACAGGTAGAAATGAGAACAAATCTTGCTACCGTGAAATTTGGGTGGCGCTTTAAATTACATTGCGATCGACTTTTTTGCATTTTTTTTTGGTTTTTATTTTAAATCAATAATTGTTGAATATACATATAATATATGGAGAATATCATATTAATTTTTAGATGATATTTTTTAAATATTTTACTCAGAACATCCATGATATGTGGATAATTGGTTCATAAGATATTCTA